ACTCGATCGGTCTCACTATCGATCTCACTATCGATCTCAATATCGGCCTCGCTCGATCGATCTCACTCGATCGATCTCACATTCGATCTCACTCGGTCTATTCCATTCGATCGATCTCGCAATCGATCTGACTATCGATCTCACAATCGATCTGACTATCGATCTCACAATCGATCTCACATTCGGTCCCACTATCGATCTAACTATCAATATCACAATCGATCTCACAATCAACGTCAGTATCATCATCATCATCATCATCATCATCATCATCATCATCATCATCATCATCATCATCATCATCATCATCATCATCATCATCATTAGCATCATCATCATCATCATCATCATCATCATCGTCATCAACGTCACCAACATCAACATCATCATCATCAGCACCATCACAATCGGGGCACTAGCATCATCACCTCATCACAATCATCATCAACATCATCATCACCATCGTCATCATCGGGGCACCATCATCGTCACCATCATCATCAACATCATCACCATCGGGACACCATCATCATCAACATCATCGGAACACCATCATCATCATCATCTCACCATCATGATGAACAACATCATCAACATCATCATCACCGGGACACCACCATCATCACCAGCATCATCATCATCATCAGCATCACCATCATCGGGACACCACTATCATCGTCACCATCATCAACAACATCATCATCGTCACCACCAGCATCATCACCATCATCAACATCATCGGGATCATCAACATCATCATCATCATCATCGTCATCATGATCATCGGGACGCCATCATCATCATCAGCAAGATCATCATCAACATCATCATCATCGGGACACCATCATCATCATCATCATCATCATCATCATCATCATCATCATCATCGCCAACAGCATCATCATCATCAGCATCAGCATCATCATCATCATCATCAGCATCATCATCATCATCATCGCCAACATCATCATCACCACCATCACCATCATCATCAACATTATCATCATCAACATCGACATCATCATCATCATCATCATCATCATCATCAGCATCATCATCATCGACATCATCATCATCATCATCATCATCACCATCATCATCATCATCATCATCATCATCATCATCATCATCATCATCATCATCATCTTCATCATCATCATCATCATCATCATCATCATCATCATCATCTGGACACCGACGGGACGCCGGCGGGACACAGCGCGGGGGGGGGGGGGGGGGGGAACACCCTCCCCCCCCATACCCAAACTGGACCCCCAGGATAGCGGGTTTCTGGGCCCCCTGGACATCCTTGCCAAAGGTCCCCCGGCTCGTCCCGGACCTCCCAGGGCGCTTCGCCGGGCCAGCAGGCACCAAGCGATCAGAGTGGTGATCAGAGTGGCCGAAGAGAGACCCAAGACAGCAAAAAAGCGCTCCAAGAAGGACCCAGATGGCCTCCAGAGGCCCCAAAGACGGCTCAGGAGGCCCTCAACAGGGCTCCAAGAACGTTCCCTTAGGAAAACGTGCATTTTCAACACGTTCGCTGTTCGGGTCTTAGCAGCGTCCAAAACAGCCAAGAAGGCCTCCGGTTTCGTCCCAAGACGGCCCCAAAGAGAGCCTATAGACGGCCTGGATGGTCCCAAGACTGCCCAAGGAATCCCCAACTGAGACCAAAAGAGGCCCAACAGGCCCTCACAAGGCCCCGAAGCGATCAGAGCGGTGGTCAGCGAGACTGAGGAAAGACCCAAGACAGCACAAGAGCGCTCCAAGGCCTCCAAAAGCCGCGAAGACGGCCCAGGAGGCCCTCAACAGGATTCCCAGAATGCAGACATCGCTGCATTCCCTTCGGGATACGTACCTTTTCAGCACATTCGCTGTTCGGGTCTTAGCAGCGTCCAAAACAACCCAAAAAGGCCTCCGGTATCGCCCCAAGACGGCCCAAGAGACCCCCAAGAGAGCCTCTGGACGGCCTGGACGGCCCCAAGACTGCCCAAGGAACCCCCAAATGAGCCCAAAAGAGGCCCAACTGGCCTTCACAAGGCCACCAAGAGAAGCCCAAGAAGGCCATGGAAGGCCCCCCAAGAGGCCATGGGAGGCCAACAGGAGGGCCTACGTAGCCTCTGTAAAGTCCCTAGAGGGCCCAAGCTCCCCAACACGGCTCAAGATAGCCCCAAGACGGCTCGAGACGGCCCCAAGCCGGCCGGCCCACCAGGGCTCCAACAAGGTCCACACGGCGTTTTCCACCAAACTGACCCAAATCCCTGAAATTTGCTGCGACCCCAGGATTGGGTGCATTTCCTAAGAATTACTTGCGTTCGCGTGCCCCGCTGCGACCCGCTGCAACCCGCTGCAACATTCTTCACCGTCCCCCGACGGCGCCCTTCTCCTCTTCCTCTTTCTGCCGCTCCACCACTCGTCATCCCCGACATCTGCTTCTTTTCCTCGCTCTCCGAGATTCCCTCCCTCCTATCCTTCGCCCTCCACCCGGCGCCTTTTGGGAGCCCCCAGAGGCCCGCGAAGGGTCAGGGACCGCCCGAACTTTCGACTTCTGAAAACCAACGCTGAAGGGGTCAAATTTCCAAGGCCACCAGGGATGGCGCGAACGACCAACATATGCAAAGCCTCGAGGTCCAAGGTGCACGGCGCGAAGCGCCAATGCAACCTTGTGCATACATATACATATATATATATATATATATATATATATGTGTGTATACACACTAGATCCATGCGCGCTTCGCGCGCGTTTAGGTTCTAGCGTAAACCGGGGCAGCGGCTCAACAACGGACGGGGCATAGTCAAATCTCAAAGCCCAACCGCCACGGATCGCCAGAGCGAAGGCCATCATCGACCTCGCCATGCTCATCAAGAACCTTAGTGTATTGCCTTCTCCTCCTCACAAATATCATCATGATACCTCCTCAGTTGATTTCTTGATTCCTCTTTCCCTGCCCATGCTTATCCTTCTCTCTTTCTCTCTCTCTCTCTCTCTATCCCCCTCTCTTTTCTTTTATGCTCTTTTTTTATCTCTCTCTCTCTCTCTCTCCCTCTTTCCATCATTCAACCTCAACCCCTCTTGCTCCATGTTCCCCAACACAGTCCTCCTGTCTCTCAGATTCCACCGCCATCTCTCCACCCTCCCACGTGTTCCTCTCTGTCCCTGGCTTCATCATCCTTCAGTCGCCATCAAGACATGTATCCCTCGAGGTGTTGGATTGTCGCAATAATGATGGAGGAGTCTGGTCGGCTCCCTTGCCCTCCCCCCCTCTCTCTCCTCTTGTGTCTCAACCCACTGGCTGCATTCCCCTTCTCCACACCCCGAGCGTTAGAACGCACTGCGCGCTCGCTCCTGATGAGGGCGACGAGTAGAATCCTGCAGGACTTTGGGGCTACTCTCGGGAGAAATGGAGCCCAAAGTGGGGTTTTTCGAACTGTTCGGGATCGGAGTGGGCGAGTATCCTGGAAGCAAGATGATTGGGGAAGCAAGGACATGTTAAAAGCTCTATTGGGCCGCCTTAGGGCTGTCTTGGGCCATCTTGGGGCTGTCTTGGGGCCTTCTTGGGGGTCACTCAGGCCGTATTGGGACGACTTGGGAGGCCCCTCGGGTCGCCATGGCCGTCTTGGAGTCCTCTTGGGCCGTCTTGGGGGGCTCTGGAGCTGCCTCAGGACCATCTGGGATGCCATGCTGGGGCCCTCGGGGCTCTCTTGGATCGCCTTGGGGTTTTCTTAAGTTATATTGGGGCCCTCTTGGAGGGCTTTGGGGCTGTCTTGGGGCGACTTGGAAGGCCCCTCGGGCAACTGTAGGCGGTCAGGAGGTTGAAAAAGCGAGAACGCCGAAAACCTCCCAAAAAACCGAGAGGCAATCTACAATTTGGGCCCCTTGAGACTCCCTTGGGGGAGCTCTTTGGCCCCACGGGCTGTCTTGGAGCGCTCTTGAACAATCTTGGGTCGTAAGCCTCTGTGAAGCCGTCTTGGGTGAACTTGGGGGCCCCTCGAGACACACGGTGGCTCCAGTAAGCTCGACGGGACCCCCGGCACACCAGTCGCCAGCCGAGGCTCCGGCCCAGGGACCCCTGGCCTAGATATGTGTACCAGTAAATGTATGTGTATTCATATGTGTGTGTGGCTCTTTGCAAAGTACGGGCGGAGCGCAAAGACAGCAGAGAAGGCTACCTGATGGACGTGCATGCCCAGAGAGAGAGAGAGAGAGAGGAAAAAAAGAGAGAGAGAGAGAGAGCGCACGCCCAAAATCCACGACGTTTGCTGAGGAGGGCGGTTTTATTGACCGACCGTGCAGGCGTCTCCACTGTTGTACCTGGGGTCACGGCTGCAACGCGTGTGGCATTCGCGCTCGGTCATCGCCCATTCGGTTGGAAAGCCTCTTCAGACGTGGAGGATGACAGAAGTAGTCGGTGACCCCAGATGGCTTTGCAAGATGTCGTTCTGTAACGCATGAGTGAGACAAGCGAGTGCCTGATTGTTGGTCGTGTAGGCCTTCGGATCTGGTGCGCTTCCTGAGCAGCATGCGCCCAGCTCAGCTGTCCTATCATAAACCAAGAAGTGCAGTGCGCCCAGAGGCGGATCGCGAGCGGATCCGCAAATCCTCGACGCTTCTGCGCAAACCTGCGCCCTCACTGCGCAACTCGATCGTGTACCCAATCCATGTGAGAGTGAAGAGGGCTGGGTCTGGCTCTCGAGATGGAGCTGCATGCAACCGTTGCTTTGGACAAACCTGTCTACGTATTAACCAATCGCATGTTTCCGGGTAGGGCTCGATGCCCTCGGATATACATTCGACGTTGTGACTGGCGGTCCCTGCGCTGCGGGTGCAAGCCCGGGAGCTAGGAGAGAGCCCAGGCATCAGCATATGTTATCTGCTGCACGGCGGTCCAACCAGTAGGCTCATCGACCTGCTCCGCACTGCGACATGCGATGCCTCCTCCTCCTCCTGCTCCTCGGCTGCTGCCGCCGCCGCTGCCATCCGAAGAGAAGCACGGCGGCGCCGCGAGGAGCCGCGCGCGGAGCCCCGCTGCTGCAGCTCTGAATCGGCCACGCCCGTCTTGCAAACAAAAAAAGGCGCCATGGGCAGCAGACCCAGCCCGCCCCCACGCGAGGCGAGGGGCGGTCAGGAGGCGCGCCCGCCTCGCGCTTAGGAGCCCACACTGGCCTACGGGCGCGTCCAAACTGGGAGGAGCCGATGCGCCTCCCCCGCCCCCACCCCACCCTTCCTCCCGCCCCTCCTCTTGCTCTTCCGAATCCTGCTCCTACTCCTCCTCGCTCCTCTTCCTCCCTCCGCTTCTCCCTCCATCACCACCTCTCCCGTATTCCTTGGGAACGAAAGGGCCATCACCCCCCTCCGCCGTTCACATCGTGAGCCTTTCACCCTTCCCCCTTTCTGAGCCCCATTCTGCGGCGTCATTATTCTCATTCGTTTCTCCTCATCCACGCCATCCTCTCCTCCTCCTCCTCCTCCTCCTCCTCCTCCTCCTCCTCCTCCTCCTCCTCCCCCTCCTCCTTACAGCCTTACAGTAACGGCCCTCTGGTCCGCGCGGACCGTGGCCGTGGGAGACGGGGGCCCACATCCCCCGCCTCTCAGAAGGGCATCGGCTTGTGGATGCCGTCCTTGGTCTCCTTGTGCCTCGCGGGGCTCTTTGCGACGGGGGAGCCGGGTGCTCCCCCGACGTTCTCTTCTTTGGCTCTCTGCGGCGGCGCGCGCGGCTGGGGACTTCTTCCTTCGGAGTCGTCCCGCATGTTACGTGGGGGGAAGCAGCCCGCCCTTCGGCCCTCGGGCTGCGGGCTGCCTCGCGGGGACACCGAATTCTTTTCCGGTCCTTTGCTGTCTTCCTTGGGCGGGCAGCCCGCCCTTCGGCCCTCGGGCTGCGGGCTGCCGCGCGGAGGAAACGAATACTTGTTCAGTCCTTTCCCTTCTTCGTTGCGGGGGGGAGGTGCGTCTCCCTGCCCTTTACCGTTCCCCTCATCGTTGTGCTGTTCTTCTTTGCTATGCGACATGGCGGCGGTGGCCCCCAGAACTTCTTTTGCGTTGGGGAACTGGTAGTTCACCTCGTACTTGGCTTTCATGTGCTCCTCCCTGCTGCTGGCAGACTCGCCCTTCGGCCCCTGAGGGCTGCGGGCCTGCCGTTAGGCACGAGGACATGCTGAGGATTGCGCTGGGGCATGTGGGCGATGAGGAGGCTCTGCGGGGTTTCCTGGGTCTTTTTCCTTAACGTTTGCGGTGTCCTCATGGCCGCTGTTCTCCTCGTAGTGGATGTTGTTGCCCGCTCCTGAGTGTCCAGCTCCACGTGGCGACTCGAGCCTGAGGTGTTCCCACGCATTCGGGGCTTCCTCAGGACTTTGTGTGAAAAGCCTGGTGAAGGCTTTTCAGGGCAAATAACCTGGCATGGTTTTTTTGCTACAGCCTACACTGACCCTTTGCCTCTTTACACTGACCCTTTGCCTCTTTACATTATATACTGCACACTGCACACTGCGTCCTCATACTCTCTCCTCCTCCTCCTCCCTCCAACCCCCTTCTTATCATACTGCCCCCCTTCCTCCTCGGGACAACCGACCGAACAACCATCATCATCCTCATCGCCACCATGACCATCATTGTCATCACTGCAACGGTTTCTTGTTTGGGGCGCGAGTGGTCTAGGGGGCGAAATGCGAAGCTTCAACGAACGCCACTACCTGGAGGGGAAAGGCTTCCTCCTCCCTCCTCCCTCCTCCCTCTTCCCTCCCCCCTCCTCCCTACTCTTCTCTCTCCCACCTTCCTCCTTCCTCCCTCCCCCTCCTCGCTCTTCTCCTCGTTCCTCCTCCTACTCCCTCCACCCTACCCCCTCTCCCACCCCTTCCTCCTCCTCCTCCTCCTCCTCCTACCCCTCCCTCCTTTTCAAGCCAACGCCCACATCGACAATCCCCTCCTCGTCCTCTTCCACTTCCTTTTCCTTTCCCCATTGGTTCCCTCCTCAACCTCCTCATCCCCCCTCCCCTCCCCCTACTCCTTCGCATTTCAGTTGTCAACCCAAGACACAGGGGGGCAATGAGAGGAGGGCGGGGAGAAGCTTGTGGGAATGAGAACGAGGAATAGGAAGGGGATGACGCAGCGACGAGGGAAGGGCGGCAGCGGCGGCAGAGGGGGCCAAGAGGGGGACAACAAAAAAAACACAACTTCAGAAAGTAAGAGCCCAGGAAGTGAAAAGAGCACGCGCCATGGAATTACAATAGTAAAGGGCTGGAGGCTGGAGGAAGGAGTTCTTCAAGAGCATCACGAGGCAACGAAGTAGAAGTTGTCGCAGACCCACCCTCCGGGCAGATCCCCATCTTCGCCCGTGGGTCGAAGATCATCATAAAGGGGCGGTTCGTCAAAAAAAGTGCAATGACGCAGCGACGCGGTTCGTTAAGTCAGACGGGCACCACGCACAACGCTGACATCGACCACGCGCAAGAGCAACCCTAGGAAAGGGTGACCTTTGGCGCGCAAAATTGGGGGCACCGCGGAGGGGGCAGGCCCGAGCGCGCAAGACGCTACTATCGCATCGCATTCGGCGATCGGGTGACCCCAGCGGGCCCTACTCCCTCCTCTCCCATCCACCTCCACCACCTCCTGCCGAGTCTTTTCCGCCCCCCATCCTCCTGCCCCTTTACCCGCTCTCCCCATCCACAACGAAAGCCGTTCCAGGGCGGCGAGCGGAGACAGAGAGACAGAGAGAAAGAAAGAAGGAGAGAGATAATTCTTTCTCCAAACGCAGCGCACCCCTGAGTCGTGCTGCGCTCTCTGTCAATGGCCCCGCGCCGCTGCCTGGGCAGCAGCCCCAGTGCGCTGCAGAGACCCTGGACGACATCTATTCTCCTCCTCCTCCTCCTCCACCATCGCCACCCTCCTCTTCCTTCCCCTAGGCCAGCCAATCAGTCAGAGGTGGGGGGCAGAGGAGAAGCCGCCATCCCCCTCCTTCTCCTCCAGGGCAGGGGCGTGGGGGCACGGTGGGGGCGGAGGGAGCAGCGGGATCAGCATCGGCAACAGGAGCATCAGGAGGGTCAAGGAGCGGGAAGGGAATGGGGTAATGTTGAGGAGGTGGGGGGGTAGTGGAGGCGAAGGGGATATGATCATGGCGAGAGGGGGGCAATGGGGGCAGGGAGAGGACGGGGCGAGGACGAGGAAATAAGGGACAGGGCGCAGGAGAAGGCGCATGGAGGGATGAGGAGAAGGGCGAAGAGATGACGATGGAGAAGAGTAGAGAGTAGCAGGACTGGGGGGGGGGATGGTGGAGCGAGCCCCCCAAACCAACCCGTCGTCGGGCCCCTGCGCGCTGCGCGCCGACTGCGCGCCGTGAATGCGCACAGCTGCGCGCGCGCGCCGCGCCTCATGCAGCGTCGGCAGCTGGCTCAGGCTCAGCCTGAGCTGGCGGCTCAGGCTCAGCTGGCGGCTCAGCTGGCGGCTCAGCTGGCGGCTCAGCCGGCGGCTGCGGCTCAGCGGGGCCAGCAGCTGGAGCCGCGGCTGCGACCTTGATGCGCGCGGTGCCCATGAACTCGTCCAAGCTCGCTTTCATGGACGGCCTGGGGGCGGGGGCCCGAAGAAGGGCAACGGGCCGCGGGCGGGGGGGTGGCCCATCCCTCATCCAGGAAGCGATGGGGGAGGAGGAGCAAAGCGGGGAAGGCCAAGAGAAACAAAAGGAGGGTGGATGGGAGAAGGAGGAGAAATAAGAAGGAGGAGCATCTCCTCCTCCCTGGAACTGCTTCGATGTCTGCTTACCTCAGACCCAGGCACTGCCCCCCATCCCCTCCCTCTCCTCCGACAACTCCGCCCTGCCTCCCTCCCCCATCCCCCCCCCCCCATCATTGCGCCCCCAGGGCAAGCGGGCCCGCCGCAGCCCACAGACCAAGTCGCCTGATTTCGCGCATCGCGCCCCACGATGCGCGACGAGCGATTATTATCTTCGCGCCCTCGCGAGGCCACCTCGGAGAAGTGCAGCTCTCCAGCCCAAGCCGCGACGCGCGAAGCGCGATTATCTTCGCGCCACTAGGGGCGACCTAGCTAAACCATGTCCCCATTTCCTCCTACCAGCCCCGCTGGCCATGGCTTCTTGGAATTCTCGACGTTGGTAGTCACGCACTCCTGCAAAGCCGCCACGATCTCCGAAGCGGTGTTCTCGAGCATGCCCGACGCGAGCGAGGCGCTGAAGATCGGGATCTGCATGGCCACCGCCTCAGCCCCCCAGCCCCCAGGGAACGGGCGGACAGGGCGGGGGGAGGGCGAGGGCGACAGAGGAGGGGGAGGAGAGAGGAGGAAGAGCAGGAGCAGGGCGGGGGACATGAAGAGGAGGAGGAGGAGAGGAGGAGGAGGAGGAGGAGGAGGAGGAGGAGGAGGAGAAGGAGGAGGAGGGGGCGAGGGGGATGAGGAGGAGAGGGGAGTTGGAATACAGGGGGGGGAGGTGGATGACGGCGATGGGGGGGGGGGGGGGGGGGGGGGGGGACAAGCGAGATGAGGGGGGGGGGGGGGGGGGGGGGGGGGGAAGAGAGGAAAGGGAGCGGGGTAAGAGGGGGAAGTGGAGGGGGGAAGAGGAGGGGGGGGAAGGAGAGTGGGCTCGGAGCGGGAGGCGAGAGAGGAGTTAGGACGAGGAAGAGGGGGGGGGGAAGGGGGGGGGAGGGGGGCGAAAAGGCAGGAAGCGATTCCTGCTCGCTGTCCGTCGTGAGCATGGTCATGGCGCCATAGGGGACCCATACCCACTCGCCAGGGGAGAGGGCGACCCATGGGACCTTCGCCAACCTCTTCTCGTCTGAATTAAGTGTGCTCGACATCTCAGTTAAAGAGCAGGGGAGAACGAAGTTGTTGATCTCGTCAGAGACAATCAGGATGACGATGACCGAGGCGGAGGAGAAGGAGGAGGCGGAGACAGAGGGGGGGGGATGGGACAGGCGGAAGGCGGTGGAAAAGGCGGGGGACGATCGCAGCGGACTGGAAGTAGGACGACGGCGAGGAACTGAGAGGAGGGGGGAGGCAGAGGAAAGAGGGCGGAGCAAGGAGGACAGGGGGAGGGAGGGAGAGGAGGGAGACGACCTGGCCATGCAAACTGGTGAAGAAGC